TCTAAAAGTCCATAATGATAAGATGAAATCATCGCACAAGTTGGCACAAGAGTTAACCAACTCGCACTCGAATACGGATAGTGATAGCCTGGGTTCCAGGCCCTAATTTTAGGTTACTCACTCTTTATTGCACTTAGTGCGCGCCATACCTAATTTAATTGGCGTCCCATACTCGATTTCTTTTTTTTCGAATTAGGGCCTGGGCAAACGATTCATGCGTACGATTTCCCACATCAAATTTGATGTGGGATATCGTATGCATGACTGATTTTGTAAATCACGTGATTGGCTAACTTCATGCATATTAATCAATCTTGGTAAATTTTCAAAATTGAAGATGCGGATGTCTCGACTAGAACAAGCTAACCAGCTCCCTTTTGGCTACCTATACTTGAATAGTTCTGGCCTGCTGAGAACGACATGGACTGATAACCGTAGGCTATATAACTTAGGAAACTTGCTCACCGCTAGCTGCTACACAGATTAGGCCTTTAGAGTAGAATATTGTTAAAAAGGTAGGCCTCTGTAAGTTAGAACTTAAAAATACGCCAAGCCTCTACTAGACTCTAGGCTAGGCCTACTACTCAGTTCAGGCGAGGCCTGAGCCATCCTCCTGGAAAGTTAAAGTTTTGTTGTATTTGGTATGCCGTCTAGGCTTAATTGTTTTTGCCATTGCCAAAATTAGTCTTAATAGGGTCTATTCTAAATATTTTAGGCCCGTTTTATTAGGGAGGACTATTTCAATTAAGTCATGCCTAACTAGTCGACGCGAGCGGCGAGTGACTCAGTTTCATGGCTTCAAAAATATGAACATTTGATTGGTTGAAATTGTTTATTTCGGTCCGCCCATTTATCCAAATACGGAATATAAGATTACGTCATTCTTTTGGCATCCTGGTGGCGACTTTTTTTTCCGTACGAAACATTTGCATGAAACTTCACTCGGGCCATCTCGGATTGACTCGAGTGAGTACGATACGAGGAACAAGAGCAGACACTTCGCAATGTCGTGACGCTCGAGTTTTACTATTATTGCTCTTTCTATG